AGGGTTTCAGCACTTCCTGTTTGTTACATTCCCCTTGATCATGCCCTACCAGGTCTCCCACACCCACCTCCCCACAAATTTGGATCACTTGTTCCCTTGTCCCTGGGTTTGTTAACACCTCTTCCTTTCCCCCAAACTCCCCCTCTCCCATGTCCCCCCGGAACTGTCAGTCCCTTTGTTTTCTCCTCCAGATTGTTGCTTCTTTTAAGAGAAAATCTGGGTTGAAAATGATATGCTGTACTATTCCTATCCCAAATATATGTTTAAGGAGTTACAAGGAGCTATGTGGTCCAAAATGATAACAAACAAAAAAAATGGAAAATCTAGGCTTGAAATACAAGTACATTTTACATGTTTAGGTTATTATTATTACTATTAGAAGGCAAGCATACAGAAATGTTTAAGAGCTTCACAGGGCTCTTGCATTTAAAATGGGTTGGATATCTTACAGGGGCAATTCTACTCTGACTGCTAGGGTTGTCATGAGTTGGAAATCTACTCAATGGCAATAAGTTTAGAACACATGTGTGAATAATCCCCTTGTCTCAATCGTGTTTTAAATTCTATTTCATTGACAGTGTAAAGATCCTATTATTAGAATTACCAAAGAGCCCATGAGTGCTACTTATATTATCTCTCCAAAAGCTGATCTTGCTGCCACTAAAGGGGAGCAAGTATATATAGACTTAAACCTTAGCTCTGTGAATGGATTTTGAGCTCGCACTCAATCATAAGCTCTAGCCTACCACCAATCAATCGGCTCGTAGGATGCAGTCCTGTTCTATACTTACCCTAATGAAGGGGCCACTGAAGATACGGGTGCTATAGCAATGTGTTGAAGAAGCCTGATAGTGCCCATCTATCAGAAAGAAGAGCATCTGGGGTCTTAAAAGTTTGCCTTAAAACAAGCAGCTGTCTAAGTGAGGTGTCTGCTAGATCTAAACAGAACACACCAGCCTCTGTTATCCAACGATTGTAAAGAGTGAAACCCCAGGCCAGAGGAGAGAATTGTATTACAGCTTACATTCTGAGCACTTGGTTTCAGAAGGGATGACAGTGAAATCCCTGAATCCCTTTGCAGAGTTCCCACGTGGATTAAGCCTTCATTGAGCGCCCCTTAACTGTTGACTAGGATGTCAGCAGTCTTGTCCGCAGTCAGTGTGCCTTGGAGAGTAGACTGATGAAGACATAATTAAGTTAAAACTTAATACCTTACAATATTTTCCCCTTTTGACCCATTTTGAATTTGTTCTAGTTTTTTTATTCTCTACTTGCTTTTTGGAGTGAGGTCTTCCCATGTTTTCATTTGCTGGGTTGTTGTTATTGTTTTGTCTCTTTTTTTGGTATGATTTTCTTTATATGAAATCCAGGATCGGAAAATCTAAAGAGACAATGACTAAATTGATCATTTCTTATATGCAGGGCACGGGAGTTGGTAGGAAATGGAAAGCTAATAATGAGGAACTAATAAATGATGAGTACACGGATGAAGAAAATGTTCAGAGGAAGGATGAGGCTGATTGTTCCTGTCGAGATTCACAGCCTCTGAACCCCAAGATAGAGCCTCTTTGAGTTGGAATCAGCTCCATGGCAGGGGGTTGGTTGATAGTTTAGTGGAGCTATGGTCTGCATTTTCTGATGTTTGTGTGTTTTTCCAGGTACCATTTTGTCTCCTGATGAAATCTATGGTTTTTCTCTCTTTCAAAAATGAAAACGAGTGTCATTTTATATGTTATATTGAGCAATACAAGTCCTGAGGGCATATGGTTAAAAAGCTTACAACCACCCCAAGGGAAAAAAATGTGGCATCTAGCTTCCTTAAAGATTACTGCCATGGAAATCTGGGAGGCACTTCTGTTCTGTCCAATAGGCTCGCTGTGAGTTGGGGTTGACCTGATGGCAGTGAATTTGCTTTGGCGTATTGAACAGGTTGAACAAGCCAGCAAGTTGTTCAAGGTGAATCTAAGAAAGCTTCTTTTGGGTTTTAAAAACTGTGTGCCTGCGATGAGAAATACAACTTTCCTATAGTTCCTAAATGTTTCCTCCCCGCTCCCACTACCATGACT